AAGAGAAGGGCTGAAGATCGTGCCCAGTGGCGTGTCTTGGGAGAGGCCTATGTCCAGCAGTGGACTGCAGTGGGCTGATGATGATGATGATGATGATGATAATCGGCTTTTAATGCTACAGTAATAGAATATCTGTAGAAGATCACTACATATTTTTCATTGCGTGAGACATGTACATGTTTATTTTCTGAATAATATCGTATTATGACTTCAAAGCAAAGAGCAAGCACCTGTCTAACTTTAGGGATAATTTGGGTACAGTGTACCATTAGCATATCCACAATCAGAATAATAAATAAACGTGCGGAATTCAATAACGATATGCAAATGTTATCTATTAGAAGTAGTTTTACAATTCATTTCGTAATGTTTATAGTATTAAATATATTAATTAAGTTCAATAAGTTTAATGACAGAAACAGCTTTGTTTTTGCATTTATGTAACATAAAATTGAAATGAAACCTTCTATAAAACCTTCATGGCCTCGAGGTTAATGATTTCAAATAAATTCTCATAATAGTAAAATCTTAACATTTCATCATCTTATTGAACATCGCATTCACATTTGTTGCGTTCACATTTTAACATTATCTGTTCACACGAAACGTTTAAATTTACAATACTAACTTATGAAATCTCGACGAAAAAAATCGATATCAAACCAAAAATGTATGAGATGATGGCATTCTAGCACTCTCTGCGTTGTTGCGTTCACAACATTATCTGTTGACAATACATCTTATATGACAATACATCTTATAACAGTCGTAATGCTATATACAATTTTCTATGAACAATAATTTTATTTAATATACATATTCAATCTACTATGTACTCACCAATAGTTAAAAAAATTGTAAGTAAAGAAAAACTAATAGACCGAAATACTATATGGCCTTTATAAAAACGCGGGTCAAAGCAATTTTACAAGGTACAAGGATCTCAAATAGCAACCTAGGATACAGTAAAGATAATTTGCATCACAAAGGCTTCCGTTCGGTCATCCCGTACATTGGTATATGTATATATTAGAAACGAAATTGATTTTGCTATTTTGAGCGGTAACTGTCATATACAAGTAGAATAGAATAGAAAATCATTTATTCAAATAAACTTAATTTAAGCACTTTTGTTTTATTATCATTATTCACATAACATTTTTTTTATCTACCGCTCATTCGGAAAGCTGTCTCATCACAAGAAGAACGAGAAAGAAACTTGTGTGTTGCTCTTTTATATAATCCTTTACGTTTACATTTACAAGTCGAAACGTGTGAATACAAACTACCAACCAGCACTAATTTATTAGGGTCAAATATAAATATACAATAAGATTAAATCAGTCGTAGTGATAAGAGCAGACCAGTCCCTACAAGCAGCACCTGTTCACGAGTATGACGGATGAGCCAGCCATTACTGCGCTCGACCATATTTTAGGGAGCCCAATAACCCGGCCCCCCACGCCGCCACATGTCTGGACATTTTAGAGAGCATGACTACTTATTCCACTCGACCACGTCATAGTTACTTAAAATTACTATATGGTAGTTACAGTATTCGCACTCTACATGAGGACGCATGCGGCAATAACTACAAAAGCCGCTACGCTATCATATATCAAGAAAGCTGTATGAAAAAGAAATTATAACGTTGTCCGCAAATAAACTTAGGTATTCTTGCTAGATATTGCTATCATTTATAAATTCATCTATCCTAGAATAGACTATTTTACATAACATTTGTTTAATATAAAATTTGAATTGCCTCTCTGTCAGATTTAGCATAGATTCTGGCTGTTTATTATAGAATCTTACACAATTACCTTACGTAATTACAAGTAAAGTAACACCATTTAGCAATATGATATCTTATTACTTTTGGTGCTTCTCGTTTCTTACGACAGGGTTCTGACTAGTATTTGGCGGGTATAGGGGCCTAACACGACTCGTGCACAGTTTGTAACGGTATCCTCGATTAATTTATGCTTTATATTTCCAACCATTTTATAGGTGATCTATCGTCCAGAAATTAGATAACTATTAATTAAATCAATTCGTGAGTTTTGTAAGTATAATATGTGTATGTATATATAAACATAACAATTACCTAGTTTTTACTTAAGATAGAGGCAGAACATGGGACCAAACTGCACTCAAGGCTTTTTGTATTTGTTCCTGTCGCGACACCGGAATTTAATGCATAATCGATATTTCGTCGCGTAGTGGTATCTTTGCATCTGTAATTAATAAAACTTCCGCCAAAGATTTATTAATTAAAGATTTGCGAATAAGGTATCTACATTATTTTATATTCTTACAATGTTTATACGATAAGACAACTTAAGCACTGTTTTAAGTTTTAATATGGTAGATATCATTGTTCGGAATTTGAAATATTGGGACATCTTTAATAATATGTACAAGACTTTACTTATCTGATATTATTTTGTGTATGTGTAAAGAAAGAATGTAATAGTGTGTGTATATGCATACAAATATAGTTTTAGAAATAAGATGTTTTGCACTGATTTGCCATGTTTAAGTTACCTGATAGAAACGAAAATAAAACTGCGTTAGTTTATATTTCTATATCTATTTAAATATATAAAATTAGATAAGTAAAACCTTATCCTATAACATTCTAATAATATTCGTTTAACCAACATGTAAAGATTAAAAAATGTTTTTACGTAATGTATGTGAAGACTAATGTACCTGGGGCAATTGAGTAAATAAGTGCGCGCAGGCGAAACTACAAATAACAGTTTTATTATTATAATCTGCAATGTTATTTTATAGTAATAAAAATGGAGAAAATTGTGTGTTCCTCATATATTGGCAAAACACACCGTCACGGTTCTATTGCATAGATAACACATAGTGACATGGACATTCATTAACATGATTTGGTTTGCACTCGCCTGGAAAATTGACCGCTTTCCACCCGCGCATTGGACATAAAACCTATGGGTACAACGGGGATTTTCTATTCGTTGTTTAACCTTGAAAGTGTCCGGGTGATGTGATTATTTGTATTGATTAAGAAGTTAAGTTTATTAAGTGGTTTATTTGTAAGTAATTTACGTTACTATAACAATATTTTATGTTACTAATTTACATACATCTCTCTCTATAAAAAGATTGCAGTTGATTGAAAATATCTTTATGAAGCCAAGCCAAGCCAATATTACCAATATAAAAATTATTTGACAGACAATCTTAATCCTAAAAAAATATTTATAAAATAGTCCTAATGCAAATATTAATTAAATTGGTCTTCATAAAAATAAATTAAAAAAAATGTGATTAACAAAATCTAATTTTAAAAACGTTCGCATTTAGTACCTTAACATATATATTGTTAATACAAATAATCAGGTATTAACAATTAAAATTTAATTTAATAATGGAGTAAAGTATCTTTCAGATGTTCAAGTAATTTTTCAAATAGGTGTAGTAAATCAAGTGATTATTCACTATACTTACGAGAATGCAAATAAAATTTGCATTCCTCAGATATAGATTAGTGTAGATAGGGAAAAGTCAGTTTGAATAACGAAGAAATTGAAACATTTTGAAAGGATTGAATACGGATAGACAAGTTCCATAGTATAGTGCAACTTTCTAAAAGTTTATCTTAAGTTAAAGACTCGGAATAGTCCTTTCTCGTATTCAGAGTTTCCCTATTACAAAGTTATATTCTTGCTTCATTTAATAAAATTTTCGAACTCTACGATTCAGTTGTAATAACAGGTTACCTACTGTACAGTTGACTTATTACTAATATTTCTTGTAATTGTTTAATAAAGGATTTTTACCACGGGATATTCTATTCAGGGTTATTACATAAAGAGAGTTAAAATAATAACAAAAAGGTGACTACGTTTTCTGATATTCACTGTTGGTTTACACCATTTATTTAATGATCGCTTCTCATATGGTATGTTATTAATAAAAAGAACATAAGACATATGATACCCTGTAGGGGCACCGTAATTACGTAATTACGTTATAACTATATACAATTATATTACAATAATTGCTTAAAGGTCAGAATTGAAATATTAGTCATTTATATAATTTCAATACATTTATTAATTATTTAAAGAACATATCAAATAATATATTAAACCATGAGTACCAGTATCACATTTACACTTGCATAACATCAACTATAATTATTTCCTGGCCTTTTATATCAGGTGTACTAGAATAATTACTTATTAGCTCACGAACAGTACGACACAATTTTATATCTTATGTTCTTAAGAAAGCACTGGCTGATCTAGGTAATTATATTAGGATAATAGTAAGGATACTACATTAGCACTTGTACAATAGTAAGTGGAATATTATTCTCTATAAATGCACACTATTAAGTAATATAAAGTTTTTAAATATACTACTGTATATTTATCAATTACCCCAATATTTTTCTGTTATTTACTAATAACAGAAAAATATTTGGTGTTGTCTGTATACTTTTTGTATATACACAAATTTCCCACTATGACACAGTGGACAAGAAAATAATACGAATATGTTTTTGTAAAAAACACATTTCGAAATTTGTAATTTTGTTTTTCTTACGGTTCTATTGCACTTTTTCGAAATTTATTAAAAACATAACATATATAAAACACTACTCCAACAAATAGTATTTACCTAATGATTATAGCATTACAGAGTTATGATCAAAAGACGATAGAACCGGAATATAATCGTAATAATTTTTTAATAAAATAACAGACCCTCATCAATTTTGGGTTTGCTTGCTTGTTTTGATGACCTTCCACTTGCTTTTCTAAGAAATATTAATTAGAGTTTAAATTAATTTCAACCTAATTTTTATTTAAATGTTTCATGTAATAGGCTAATCTAGTCTTTCAAACTAATTTTTTTATTACAGATATATACCTATATGTACATTTATGATGAAAAGATATGGAACAGATGAAGATTGAATAAAAGACGTCATAATATAAGTCAATAAAGTCGATATGAAAGTCGCCGTGATATCATTTTTCACTCTGGCCTTAATTTCATGTTGCCATGGCAATCAGAAAGATCATCCCGATGCATATTTGAGCCGGTTCGTCGCCGACTTGTGGCTGGAAGGCGCTGACGTAATAAAAATCATTTGGAGGGACTGTTCCAAAAAAGTATGATATTAAAACAAATAATAACATATACCTATACATATATCTGGTCTTATTCACATTTATCTCTAAATTACACTGCACTAGAGCAAAAGAAAAAAAGCATCGAAGATAGTTTCAACTTTGTTTTTTTTTTTGTAACAAAAACAAACATTCAAATACACAGTACTATATTTTCAGTGGTAGGTAAACATTAATCATCATTAAATATATATATATATATATATATATATAGGGTAAACACTACAGTGATTGCCCAGTGTATAGATATTGCCCACAGTAAGAAGATGATACATTTAAACCTATTCATAAAGGAGTTAATTCGAATTAAATTCGCCGGATAGCATTAAGAGATCTTCTAGTAGAATGTTTAATAATAAATTGGCAAAATTTAAAGAAAAACATGGTGTTATGGCATATTTGTTGACAACAGGTATGCCTCTTATCGGAAAAAGTAGGTTTCTTAAAGAATTTCTTAAGGATACACTATTTATTTTAATTTCTTGTGTTAACTTAGCTCCGTTTTAAACTTATTGCTATAGAGAATAAGTTAGTAAATGCTTTATAGTGTAATTTCAAGAAGTTATTGTGATGTAAAATTTACCTCTTAAGGAGTTAGATGGGGTGGGCAATACTAAATCTTATTTAGATGAATTTTAGTGATTGCCATATCGGTATTTAGTTATTGCCATTGGCATTGGGTACAGCTATTATCAATTTCTATTAAAGTAAGTTTATTTTTGTTAAATACATTTACGTAGCAGTATTATCTAGTTCTTTATAGAATGCCGAAGGTTACCAAGTTGTTCCCCAAATCTTTTATTAGTGTAGTAAGTCTACAAATACAAAAAGATTTAGATATTCTTTTGTTTTTGTGTCATTTTTACTATAAAGTAGATGATTCTTATTCTGCTAAAGACACTGATTTTGATTGTTTAGAAATGTATACTAACATACAAAAAGCTATAAAAGATTTCAAATATTAAATAAGGTCTTTAAAACTTGAGACATTGTTTTGCTTAAACGATTAATGTTTGTCAACATTCCTAAACAATAAGAATTAATATTTATATGGTATATTTTTAACTAGATTTAGTAACTATAGCAGTTAATGCTATGTGGGCAATATATATATATATATATATATATATACATTTAGAGGTTATTTTTGTTAAACCTTGTAATTATTAGTTTTCTTAAGATATTTACATTGTTACTACTGGATCTCTTAGCTAAACTATTAATGTTACCAATGAGGTGACACTCACATACCTATTATTTTAATAAACATTTATATACATATAAAACCAGTAGAATTTTCTTAAATGGGCAATCACTAGTAGTAGAATAGTACCACTAGTAAAATATTCTATAATAATCTATTCTATGTTTGCGCAATCTCCATAGATCCATCATGATTAATTACTGATAAATGTGCCATAAATAAGCTCATTTTTTAAATTTTTATTCTGTTCCACCTTTGTTATTATATTATTAAATCATTACAAAAAATAACATTTGGTAGAAATCTGAAATATCTGAAAGAAGTAATAATATTTATTACTAATAATATTGTCTGTCTATAAAGAGACGAAACCATTCAGGTATATGATAAAACAGAATTTGTGTAATGCTTACATCTGTTTGCTGCTTTTGTAAAATTGTAGAAAGAAGTCTGTTATATATTTTTATGTATCAATGCTATTTATTTGAACGTTTCCGTTCCATTAAGGATACTGGGCTAAAAGTGTCCTGTTCATGTTGATATCGAGCGAAAGCGCTTTAATCTACTTATTGCGAGCTGACTACCTAATCCGCTTTGTGAATTCCGATGCCTGCTTCTGTAGGTACTGATAATATTATATATTTATTGTGTGTATTTACACCTTCATCTTTCAGATTTCAAAAAGTTTGATAGGAATTCTAAATGTAAACAGAAATTTTTAAAATTAGTCACTTATTTCTTTATTAATAGTTATATTGTAATAGTTTACACACTGATAAATAATTCTATTTATCAGTCATTCTCTAATTCAACTCAGTTAATTTTCCAATTATATGTAGAATCGTTGGGTTGATAGGACAAATTTAAATTAACAACAGATTTGTTAAGTTGTCAGTTGCTAAAACTGTACTTTATTTTAGAAATCATTGCAAAGATAGGTTATATTTCATAATTTAAACACTGATTAAAATTAATTACATTAGATAAAAATATTATTGAAGTTTTAATAAGGTAAGGCATATTTGTGACGTATTTAGATATCCACTAAGCGTAAAACGATTAAAACCGGCCTACACGACTTTTGAGTTAACTCTTTTCCATTAAATTAAGGTCGTAGAAAATCCTCCTTTATGAAAACGTTTGGAAATATTTAATCCACATAACATCTCGTTGTTCGTTGGAAGACAATATTTTCGTAATGTACATTATGTTATTTATATGATAATAAAAGAGTATGTAATAACTGACGATGTTATGTCGAACGATGAATATTTGATTTTCATATTTATAGCTAGTCGAAGTAAAGGATGTTATCGACCATAAGGAATACTTTCCAAAATTCATAAGGTGCATGAAGAGGAAAACATTGCGAGCATTAGATCGTGCATTATCTCCTGATATAGTGCCTGTAGCCGAAGGAATTAATTTGGTGAGATTTGAACTTGTTGATCGCTCTGGAAACATCATGCCTGAAAATGATACGAGGTAATATTTTAAAAAAACCTTATTGATATTTTTTATTATATAAATCGTACACTTATTGATTTTACATTATAACAACTGATACATTTTTCATTGTTTATTTGAACGGAATTTTTTCTTTCATCATTTATAAGGTCCTCGACCACTATTTAGTTCCGAGATCCACCATTTAATCCTTTAAGCTATATTCGTCATCATATTTGTCTCATAAAAATATTTATTTTGTATTTTTTCGAAAATATACATTCATGAAATTCTCCGAGTAAGTAAACAAACAAAATAAATTCCTGTTTTATCCGAAGGCTCGTAAATTATATACGAGATATGCACATATGAACATTGTAAGAAAATATTTGTAAGTAAAGGCGAAGAATGACTTGAGCAGGTATATTATTGTGTCCTATTTTTCAGTAAGTAAACTTAACATATGTCCTAACTTCGACCTACGACATACCATAATCTAATTTTTATTTACATATATCCAGTCTAGGGCTTTTTCGTGTTTATGTAGGTAGATTGTTTGCTGACATGGGTAAGGTGATCTTAAGGTTCCTACAGAGAATCAAAGCACGTTCATTCTGACGATTTGTGACATTCTTGTTTATTTAGGAAATAAGCTACTTACCAATGTCTTGCATCAGTAGATAATTAAATCATGATTTTCTGAACTTGCCTTTCACAACAACGCGTGTTTTGCTGTTTCAGTCTAGAAACAATGAGTGTGTGATTGATGAGTGACATTATAAATATCTTTTTTATGTTAATAGTTCGTGGACAGATAAAGAGCTTGAAGAAGAAGAATGGAGAACATTAGCTCTCCGACGAATGGCTAAAGTGTTAAGAACCCACGTTATAAAATTTGATTTTGAAAATGAGAAATCTATTGACAGTGTTCAAACAGGTACTAACAATTACTGCTTTACATACATGTACAGATCAATACAATGCTTTACTTAATATATAAACTCCTATTTAATTTTGCTCTCGTTGGATATGAATAGATAATCTGATGTCTGCGTACGAGTATGTGTAACTATCCTGTAATTATTATAATTGTTAGTGTGTCAAATTTATTATTATTTCTATCATATACCTAAAAACAATCAGAAAATCATATAATATGTATTTTAATTATATTTCAGTTGAATACAGAGGTAGACGGCGGCATCAAATGATGACAATGATGATGTTCGGTATAGTATCAATTGGCATGGTCTTAATTCCAATGGGTTTCCAATTCTTAGCCGTTCTTGGCGGAAAGGCACTATTATTAGCTAAGATGGCGCTTATTTTAGCATCCATACAAGGACTTAAAAAGGTGAGATTACTTCAAACAATACTACACGTGTTACTTAATTTATGTAAATGTAGTATACGTAATATGTATTGTCTATTTTATAATATACTTCATTGTTTGGGCTAATAATGGACTGTAGACTTTATGCTCATGATCTGTAGTAAGAATATTCAAAGTATTCGTGTACCTATAGCGTACAAAGTAGTGGATAAAATATTTTAAAACTTCGACAATAATATATTATCTTCAATTATATTTATATTCAGTTCTTTGACTATGGTTTCTTAAATTTCGTCATAATTTATATATACTAACTGTCGGACTAACTATCAATAACTTCATAGTAACGTTCTTTTTTAGGTAGACAATAGTAATGATGGGTATCATGAAAGGGGAAAGGTATGATAAAACAATTCATAATAATCTACTAACTCGCAACTTGTACTTTCTTGACAAATTGACGCTTCTTTTTTGGTTGGTATGAAACGTAAGTTTTAATTAAAACCAAATAACTAGGCAATTTGGTATATATTTATATTTATTTAAATGAATTGATTTCTAATTGGGATGTTACAATGAAGAGAATATCTATTAGTGTCTTAAAAATTAGTAATAAATATGCCAAAGTATTTTAAAACTGTATTACTTATGCTATAAAACAAAACAATAATTATTTATTTCAACTGAATAATTTCTATATTTAATAGGATACTATTGATACTGATCATAAACAGTGTGATAAAAGTTACCTACTTTTTGTTCGTGGGTGTTATTCTATAAACACATTTATCATATAGTTTGACACTTCCAGTAAGTGCCCACCTGCCGTGCCTCTTTTGCTGAGGTTAAATATAATACTTAGAAAGTAAGCGTCAGTTTGTCTATATCTACAATTCTACATTATATATTTATAATATTTAAAATTAGGCACATATTCAGCTTTTGAGCACATTCTAAAAATCACCAAGGTAACCCGTTAACAGATGTTCTGTTCCAGATTGCTTCAAGTCCGGTGAACTATGGCTTTTACCAATCCTACCACCCTTACGATTACTACGAAAAGCGAAGTCGAGATAATTGGCTACCACCAGCTATCATGCCTGGAACACCACCACCCGCATTATCTGCACCACAGTGGCCTTTAGATTCTGGAGTTAAAATCGACAGAAGAATTTCAGCAGACACAACTAAAACTGTAAAAGATAATAATGCTGATGTTGTAACGTGGAAGCCCGAACTAAATAAAGTGACTAAAGGAGAAATGGAACCTAGAGTATATCCAGTCTATACTGTATCTCAAACTCCATCAGTTTTTACTGCAATTGATTCTCCTACTTCCCTTGTAGATATAACAACGAGACCAGGCGAAGTTCAAGCTGATTATACTATAGATCTACCTTACAATGGATTTCGTTTTCAAACTCCCTCTACTGTCATTTCAGCTTGATGTATTTATACAATTATTTAGAGCATTGTTTGATATAGTAGTTAACATATACACATATTTATCGCAAGTGCTATATCCAAAGAGACATGTTTTCTATTCTACATATGGATATCTTAATTTATTAAATAATAATAATATTTATTAATGGTGCTGCTTATTATTGTTCTATGTATATATGATAGTCATTACTAATGAACGTATTATAATTATTACCAACAGGTGTGTTATTTAAAATAACAAAGATTGGTATGCTTTATGCCAACTCGTAAGTCAATTATTATCACTGTAATGGTACTTTGATTTGTTAATATTTTTGCGTATTTTATTTATTTTAGATTTAAGTACAATTTGGTACATTCTTGTACCATATTTGAATATGGTATATTACATTAAATAAAAATGATTGAAAAGATTCAATTTGTATAAATCATAATTACTTCCTTATTATCTAAGTGTTTTTTCGTGATTACATTGTATTTTTTTCAAATGTTCAGAATTGTTTTACTACATATTACAACTGTTAATTACTGTTTAGGAGTTATTAGTCCTGATGCCAAACAAATGAATATTTGTAAAGATGTTAATCATGCAATGCATGCGATAATTTAATGAAATTTTGAGAACTCAAGTAATATATTGAATTATTGAAATTGAATTAAAATGACTCTAACACAATTCACATTAGCATTTAAAATACAACCAGCACATCCTGTGTTCAAAGACCGAATGGCCGTGGCTTACAAAAACCCTCCCTTTTATACAGAGAAGATATGAGTGACGGTTATACACAACTAGTTTAACGAGTAATGATGAAACTACCTTATTTTAATATTTTTAAAATATCAGATTTTTCGACAATATCGATTTGAACCCTAACAATAGGCCTTTTTAGGCCCTGGTAGGGCGAATCTGTAGGCTAGTTCAGATAACAAATTAAATGTAGCGAAATAATTGATTAATTAGAGCACTACAGAAGTTACATTAATGAACAAATTTATGTAGTTAATCTTATATTTGGTTATAATAAATACTTATTTAATACAAGTACTTACTTGTACATAATATTTCGCTTTAAAAATATCGAACATTACATTCTTCCTTGACATTTGATATCTGCATATATATCAATCATATCATGTCTTAATCATATAATATAATAATCATAAAAGTATTGATAATCTTCACAAATACCTATCTTATATGGATAGGTATAAAGATAATAAATAAAGTAAATAAACTGGCTTAAAAAATAGAGATAAATTAACTTGAGTTCCTTGCTAGTTCTTTTTAATTGAAACTGTCAGTATATACCGAACTGGACAATAGGAAAAATTGTTAATACAAAAACTTGACGTACATAAGCGGCTAAAATATCTTACATAGATACATTATTTCTTAAATTTCTTCTTTTGTAATTACATAAGATTTTGCAATTCTAATAAATTAGTTTATGTGAAGGTATACAGACAGTTAATATATGTTAGAAAAAATATCTACCTACCGACATAATTAATAATTTTTCAACCAATAATAAAAAAAATAATTTGTCAACCACTACATGGCGCCCCCTGGGAACAGTTCCATATGAATTCACCACGATTTGACTTCAAACTCATTATGTCACTGCTTTCCCGCCAGCATAATATTACCGGAATATATGTATATATATAGGCAATCATCTTTACTGACATGCACTTTTTGTAGTGAAAAAAGCATTATTTTGTAATGTTACAATTTCATTAAAAAAATATTCATAGGATTTCTCTATACGATGTTTCTATTTAATTAAATATATATAAAGTTAGAACTATTTTTACGATCGTAAATATCTCATTAACTACAACAATAAAGTTGTAAGTAAGCCGCAAGTACTACTCCTCATATTGGTTATCACTATACCTGATTAATGTCCTGCAGAGTATTTTATGATGTTATGTCATTCTATACCTATGGTACAGTCAGAACTAATCACGGTATATTTATAAGTTTCAACATAAACAAAAGGCAAGAATTTAGTCAAACCGTGAATTTATTTAATAAGTAAAAGAAAATCCCGTGACTACGCGACGGACCGCGTTGTTTCCCGTTTCTTTAGGTATTTCAAATGAAAATAAATTTCCAAAACATATTACGACCGTAGGTTCACCCGTTAGGCGTATTTACTTGGTTGCTTGAGTTGTATTCAAATAATAGAATAGAATAGAATAGACGAGATCAGTTATTCAAATAAACTTAATTTAAGCACTTTTGAATAGTCATAACAATTTGTTTTTTATCTACCACTCGTTCGGAAAGCTGTCTCATCACAAGAAGTATATATAGCAGGAAACTTGTGTGTTGCTCTTTTAAATAATTATAAGTTTACATTCTTAAGTCGGAACATGTGAATACAAACTACCAACAAGCACTAATTTTTTGGGTCAAATATATCATGCAATAAGATTAAATCAGTCGTAGTGATAAGAGCAGACCAGTCCCTACAAGCAGCACTCGTTCACGAGTATGACGGATGAGCCAGCCATCACTGCGCTCGACCATATTTTAGGGAGCCCATTGACTCGGCCCACCACGCCGCCACATGTCTGGACATTTTAGTGAGCATGACTACTCATTCCACACGACCACGTCACAGCTACAAAAATTACTATATGGTAGTTACAGTATTCGCACTTTACATAAGGATGCATGCGGCAATCAATACAAAAGCCGCTACGCTATCATATATCAAGAAAGTAGTATGAAAAATAAATTACAACGTTGTCCGCGAATAAACTTATTCTTGCTATATATTGCTATCATCTATAAATTCATCTTATAATAGGCTTTTTTAATTTTTAATATATTATTAACTAAGAATAATACTTAATCATTTAATGTAACATAACTTAACTGAATGTACAATTACTTCTTTATTTATTTATGCTGAATATAAGAGCTGATGTCACGTCATTACCATTACTGCCTGATAATTTTATCAGGAAATTTTTAAATTATCAATATATTTTATTTTGCTAAATTTAATTATATTTATCATGTCGATGTGTTATTTCCCCATATTATGAAATTATAGAGAAATATTAGTTCTCAAAACGCAATAGCTTGGAATGTGAATATGTCAATGAAAACGCAGGTAAATATAAATTCTAAACAAAATTGGTTGATCACCATTAAAATGACCAATGTTCATCGCCATCCTAGCTAATTCGTATGTGTTAAATATCGTGAAAATCTTTTACATTTCAATATATTAACAATAATTTCTATTGTATTCTATAATGATTTTAAAGTAATTATATAACCTTTAGTACACGTTTATTTACAAGTTCTCTGATATATTTTGGAAGGAAATGAATTGTTAAAGTAAATACAAGTGTCCTCTAAAAATGTAGGCCAACGGAATAATTCGCCAAGGCACATCTGCTAACGTCAAGATAAGTCGGATGTTTTTCTCAGCTACACATTGCACACACAGTTCATACATTCATCTGCATGTATGTATATGATCAGGATATTATAAGAGTTAACTGGGAGGCAAATCTTGAGATTTGTACTTCAGTCCATGAAAAGGAGAACTTAAAAAATTGGTGCATTTATTTAATAATATATAAACTAGTTACCAATATGGGATAAACAAATGTTGTTATTTTTAATGTAAATGGAATAAACAAGTCTAAAACTGATAATCGTCACCTATATACATGAACAGCTCATGATGATATGGTACGACTACTCTGTCGTTTTCAATTAAACGGAATGTTGTAAATGAATATGTAGCAATATGCCTACGGACGTTTTATATAATGATAGAATAACACGTGGACCAACTACGTAGTACAATACGTAGTATTATATCTAAACTACAAAAATAATTATAGTTCTATACTGAACTTCTGTATAGTTTTACTGGAGAGAATAATGTAGTCAAATAAGTATAATATATAGGCAAAACAAGTAAATATTATTTGTACAATAGTATACAAGTATATGCTTATAAGGTTTCTAAAACTTAAGTCTTTATTAATTCGCTTTATATTTTATGTGTTTGTACTTATATTTTACTTTAAATACATGAGTAAATCTAAATGGATTTTCATAATCTTTTTTTTCGGTACACAGTGCTTAGTCTTCTTGCACTTGGTCTTATCACAAAACTTAAATGAATAGAAAATATAATAATATTAAGATTATTTCAAATGTAATGGAATATATTATATATATATATATTATTATATTTTATACAAAACTTATAGTATTTATTTATTGTCACTAAATAACAAATAATTCTTATTCCGACGGTGTCATACACTGTAATTCTCTGGACGCCACTCTGTTGAATATTGGTTCCTGCCCTTATTCGAGTGCCATATTCAATTTCGTTTTGTTTATATGAGTTCAGAATAGTTATTTATAAGTTTCGTGTTTCTGAAGGTGTAAAATAACAAAAAGATTTTGCTTGAATTTCGAAACGAAGACTGGAATTTAGGAAGGTTGTAAATTTACCTATGAGGTTAACAATACAAGTACGATTCTGACGACGTTGAAAATTGAGCACATTTGTTCTATTATAGCATTACATTAATCGAGCTTGATTAACTTGTATAGCCTTCATTAGAGTGTATTCCGTATAAATAGACGAATAAGTTACACGACTTACAAGCATATAATATAATAATATATTTATTCATTTTTACAACATATCATTAATTTATAGGCCGTAACTTTTGTACTAGGGAATCCCTGTAAATCATTAGAAATATCTTGTTATCATCTCTATACGTTTGTATTGACAATTCATAAATGATAATAAAATTAAAGATCATCATTATTAGTACGATATCTTTTCACTCGATGTAGCACTTCCAAGACCTGCTATAAAACTTGATTTCCAGCTTCAGTATCTTAAACAGGATTGATAGCGGGGAGCATTTCTATTAAAGTCGTGAAATATATTTAGTATATGTACCCGTTTGAGTAGCAAAAACGATTATATACAATACAGTTCATATTTTATTTAATTATTAACTTATATTACATTTAAGTTTTATTATAAAATGTCATAAAAG